AAAATCCTGGGTTCACGTGATCCTCCCACCTCAGCCTCCTGAGTAACTGGGACTACAGGTGCACACCACCGCCCAACCAGGCTCTTAACCACTGCCTGATGCTTCAAGTCTGCCCCTCACCAGAATGACAGCTCTTGGAAACTTGCTGCAAAGATAAAATGAGCTGCTGAGAAACAGTAACCAGCAGCGCTGACTGGGACCAGGCACACCGGTGCTCAAACACAGTCATGACGACTGTTCTCATCACCGCAACAGGGGCAGGGGGGAGGGTGGTCTGAACAGCCCGCTGCTACCCACACCTAGTGGGGCCCGCTCCTTTCAAAACTGTCAGAGGGAAGCCGGGAGCAGTGGCTAAATCTGTATCCCAGCACTTTGGGAGGCCAAGGCGGGTGGATCACCTGAAGTCAGGAGTTTGAGACCAGCCTGGCCAACATGGCAAAACCCTGTCCTACTGAAAATACAAAAATTAGCTGGTGTGGAGGTGGGCACCTGTAATCCCAGTACTCAGGAGCTGAGGCCGATAATTGCTTGAACCCAGGAGGTGGAGATTGTAGTGAGCAGGATTGCCTCACTGCCTCCAGCCTGGGTGACAAGAGAAAACTCCAACTCAAACAATCTGTCGGAGGGGAAGGGGTTCAGGCAGCTCACTACCCAGACAGTGGAGACACCCAGGTCTCTGGCCAGGCTCCTGAGGTGCCCTCTCCCTTCTTGGCAAGGAGAGCACCTCCCTAGCCCTCCAGCAGCATCGGGCTGCACAGGTGGTGCCCACCTTGGCCGTGCACATGTGCTCCATGTAATGGCGGATCACGTCTCCCTGCATCACAGCTGCAGCTGTTCCTTGGTCAGCAGGGGCAGGGCGGTGCCCAGCAGGCAGAAACACAGGTAGCTAAGAGGGAGTATGGGACCGAGCATAGTCAGAGCCCTGGTCCCCTGGCAGGGACCTCAGGACTGGTAGTCCAGCCCCATTTCACAGACAGGGAAGGGGCCGAGAGAGGCCACATGCCCCACGCACCTGGCTGGCCAGAACTGCAGCTTCAGCAGCCCTGTTCCACCATCCCCTTCCAGAACTGCAGAAACTTGTCTTCCTTGAGTGCCAGGTAGAGCAGCTCCAGGGCGACGGCAGGCAGCTTTCATTCCTCCTTCACTGAGGACACTGCCATCTTCAGGATGTTCACCATCCTGGGGGGGCAGGGGACTCAGGAATGCTTGCCTCACAGCAAGGGCCAGTGTGCCAAGAGTAGCAGGGCACCCCCAGGCTACACAGCCAATCTGGGCTTGGCCAGATGCAGTCCCACAGCCCCAGGAGAGCAAATCCATCCACCTCCCTCACACCTGGGAACATTCTCATCCGAAAATAGGTTGACAGATCCCCCAGCTTTTGAGCCTAGAGGGCACTTTCTGCTGGGCCAGGAGGAAGAGCCCCAGCTGTTCAGGGCAGCTGAGCATCGCATCCAAGTCAGTGCTGAGGACCTCTGGCAGCATCTCCTGCAACATGGCCTCTGAGACCTAAGGGTGGAAAGGTAAGAAATGGTGGCTTCTCTGCAGGCTGAGCCCAGTGTGCCTCTTTTACCTGCCAGCCTCCTGACACAGGGCATCTGGCCAAGCATCAGAGTCATCAGAGGCCATTTGCTAAAAAACTCAAATTCCCAGGCAGCTGGGTTTTTGACAAGCATTTTGCTGATGCTAACTGGCCCGGTACTACCTGCCTTTTTTTTTTTTTTGAGACAGAGTCTTGCTTTGCCACCCAGGCTAAGTGCAGTGGTGTGATCTCAGTTCGCTGTAACCTCCACCTCCCTGGTTCCAGCGATTCCCTACCTCAGCTGGGATTACAGGTGTACACCTCCATGCCCAGCTAATTTTGTATTTTTAGTAGGGGGGTTTTCACCGTATGGCCAGGCTGGTCTCGAACTTCTGACCTCAAGTGATCCACCCACCTCACCCTCACAAATTTCTGGGATAAAGGTGTGGGCCATGGCACCCAGCCAGAGCTACCCATTTAATTATTCCTGGTTTTGGGACTTCAGAGGACTAGCCCATTTTATACAAAAGGGGCCCTAGGTAGACAGCTGGGATTCAAATTCAGGTCCTTTTGGCTCTGAGGTCGACTCCTCAGCAGTCCTGGCCTGGGACTTCCCAGCCCCTGCCTTCTCTTCAGTGGCAAAAAGGCCTAGGTGTACCTTCCCAAGTCAGGCAGTGGAGGCCCAGGAGGGACCAGCTTGACCAGGAGAACAACAGCAAACGTTTATATACCTGCCATGTGCCGAGTTCAGTTCTAGAGTGGCACTAGCCACACGGGGCTGCTGAGCGCCTAAAAGGCAGCAAATCTGAACAGGGATGTGCCTACATGTAAAATACACGCTGGTTTTGAAACACACTGAAAAAAGAGTAATGATACCTCAACGATTTTTTTTTTTTCTGACAGTTTCATACTGTCACCCAGACTGAAGTGCAGTGGCGTGATCTCGGCTTGCTACAACCTCTCCCTCCCGGGTTCAAGTGATTCTCCTGCTTCAGCCTCCTGAGTAGCTGGGACTACAGGTGCCTGCCACCATGCCTGGCTAATTTTTTGTATTTTTGGTAGAGACAGGGTTTCACCATGTTGGCCAGGCTGGTCTCGAACTCCTGACCTCGTGATTGACCCACCTCGCTCTCCCAAAGTGCTGGGATTACAGGTATGAGGCACTGTGCCCTGCAAGCTCAACAGTTTGTATACAAATGCATACTGAAATAATATTTTAGATATACTAGATGATGTAAAATGTTACTAATGACACCTGTTTCTTTTTAACTTTTTTTTGTGAGACAGAGTTTCACTCTCATATGGCTTGGGCTGGCTGGAGTGCAATGGCATGATCTCGGCTCACTACAACCTCCAACTCCTGGGTTCTAATGATTCTCCTGCCTCAGCCTCCCAAGTAGCTGGGATTATAGGCATATGCCACCATGCCTGGCTAATTTTTTTATTTTTAGTAGAGATAGGGTTTCTCCATATTGGTCAGGCTGGTCTCAAACTCCCGACTTCAGGTGATACACCCACCTCCAAAGTACTGAGATTACAGGCATGAGCCACTGTGCCGGGCCTCTTTTACCTTTTCAACAAAGTCACTGAAACACTTCAAATTATATGTCTTATATTTCTATGGAACAGTGCTGTTCCTGATCTCATCTGAGCCCTCTTTATGTCTTTGTAGCAGGAAGTGTCTCCAAGCCCATAAGGCTGGTGAGCTCATACCTCGAAGAGAATGTCCACCAGGGCTTTCGGGGCTGCTCCTGCAAGTGGTTCTGATACTGGGCCAGGGCCTGCAGCAGCTTCACTGACTTCCTCAGCACCTCCTGGTCCTGGTCCCCACAAAGGGGCAGAGGGTATGAGCAGGGACCACTACTGTCCCCCACCCATCCAAGACCAGCCTACACCCCCACCCCCACCGTCCTCCCAAAGTTCTCACCTTCACCAGCCAGCCTGACTGAAAGAGGGCGAGCACTCTGAACAGGTCTGCAAAGACAGCAGGTCTCACCATTGACTAGAAAAGGATTCCAGGCACAGCATGAGGGGCGTGGGACTTCCCACCCCCAGCCTCTCACCCCGGGGCTACTGACTCCCCGGGCCCTCTCTCACCTTCTTCACCTGATGCAGGTCATATTTTTCTTGTATCTGCTGCAGGATGCTGCACAAATGGAGGTCTTCAAAAGACTGTAACAGCTGCCAGGAGGAAGAGGGGCTCAGGAAGTGGCCCAGTACATCCTCACAACTCAACCTCCTTCCCCCTTCAACTCCTCCAGGAAGCCTTGGGTGCCTAGTCGCACCCCATGAATGCCTCTGAAGCTGCTCTCGGAAACGAATCTTGCCTCCCTGCCCCATCTCCGCTAGGATTTCTGAAGTACCGTCTGCAAGTGGTTCTGGGACTGGGACTGGAGCTGAGCCTTGGCAGCTTTCTTTTTTTTTTTTTTGAGATGGAGTCTTGCTCATTGCCCAGACTGGAGTGCAGTGTCGTGATCTCTGCTCACTGCAACCTCCACCTCTCAGGTTCAAGCAATTCTCCTGCCTCAGCACCCACAGTAGCTGGGATTACAGGTGTGCACCACCACACCCAGCTAATTTTGTATTTTTAGTAGAGATGGGTTGTCAACTGTTGGCCAGGTGGTCTCGAACTCCTGACCTCAGGTGATCCACCCGCCTCGTCCTCCAAAGTGCTGGGATTACAGGTGTGAGCCACCACCGCTCCTAGCACAAAAGTACCTTCTACAGTCCCTAGATTGCTCTGCTGAAATTCTCAGCCACTGGGTCTTCTCTCCATAGCCCGGTCTGAGCTCCACTCAGGCTGATCCGGCGGGCCTGGGTCTTAACTGCTCTTCCCCTTGTCAGGGCTCCTCAGAGAGTGGGCTACTCCAATCAGCTGAATGCCCTGCAGGCCTAAGGAGCCCACCACCCAGCGCTCACTGCTCCCAGCAAGTGTACCTAAGAGGCCGGGTAACGCAAGCACCAGAAAGAAAACCTGCTCTGCTCCCAACCCCCTGCCTGGACTGCTTTGGAGACAGGCCTTGCTCACGCTTTCTCCACCTTCATGTGAGGAGGCTCCCTAGGCTGGCCTCCAACACATCCCGACTTCTCTGTCGGGCTGCCCCTCCGTCGCGCTGAGACACCCGCCCTCCTCACACCCACCGTTTTCACCTGCGTGGCTGGGATCCTGCCAGGAACAGCACCTCACCTGTGCCAGGGCCAAACTGTAGCAGGGGCGGTCTGTTTCTCGCCCGACCCCGAGTCCCGTGATTAGCCGCCAGGGCGTATTCATCTCAGACCCTGCGGAACCAAGCGCACCCTCGCGTTGAACGGTGACAAGAAGCTGCACACCCCGTGCACCTTATCATCCAGGTTCGCGACCACGTGCCCCCATCCCAAATCCCTGGGCCCGCCGCCGCTTCCTTGTCGGGAAGTGCGCTGCCCTGCCCCAAACCCGCCGCTCCATCTTCGGCCTAGCGCGCAGATACTCCGGCAGCTTCTCGGCCACAAGTCGCGTCTCCTGCTCAGGCTTCGCAATGTCCCAGAAGTCCAAGAACCCACAGCTGTGTTTCAACAGGCCGTGGCGGTCCGCAGGCCGGGCGCTGTTCTGCGTCGCGTCTCCCGGCGACGGGGGCTCGGAGGGTTCCTGGCTCCCCATCTCCGCCACACTCATGGAAAACACGCATGCCCCGGATCCAGCCACTTCCAGGTGAGGACCCGGCGCATGCGCACTGTTTTTTTCAGTTGGCTCGGAGGGGGAACTGGGAGGGGCGGGGCAGGGGCCGGGGGACCAAGAGGAGCGAGGCTGGGGCGGGCACCCAGGAGGGGCGGCATTTCCGCCCTCGCTCTGAGCGGAAGTTCCTCGCTGCGCCGGCGCGGTTGTTCCAGCCTTTCGCTCACGTTCATTCTGTCCCGGAGGCTGGGGCATCTGCCCCTTTGGAGCCCACGGGGCGGTTTCTGAGGGTCCATCTCGGAAACCAACTGAGGTGCAGCACATCATCCGCCTCGTCCCAGGGCGGCCCTGAGCTCGCAGCCCTGAGCCATTCAACAGTTACTGACACCTGCTTTGCGCAGCGCTAGGCAGTTGGAACAAAGCGGCCGCTTTCGTGGAGGAACTCGGAGCTAAGTGCATCAAAAAAGATCGTAATTATGAGGCCGGGCAGGTGGTCATGCCTGTAATCCCAGCACTTTGGAAAGCCGAGGCGGGTGGATCACGAGGTCAAGATATCGAGACCATCCCCGTCTCTACTAAAAATATAAAAATTAGCTGGGCATGGTGGCGCGTGCCTGTATTCCCAGCTACTCAGGAGGCTGAGGCAGGAGAATTGCCTGAACCCAGAAGGCGGAGGTTGCGGTGAGCCGAGATCGTGCCATTGCACTCCAGTCTGGATAACAACAGTGAAAGTCCGTCTCAAAAAAAAAAAAAAAAAAAGATTCGTAATTATGAAGAGAACTGGGAATGCAGGGTCCGAGGGAGCCTTTTCAGTGCTGAAACGTGAATACATCACTGGTTAAAAATACGCCTGTGGAAGTTGAAAGTTTCCTTTAAAGCTTCCTTTCTTGTCAAGGAATAAGCTGCTAGTAACTGTTAAGCTGTGGGGGGAAACCCAGCAAGAGCCGAGGCAAGGGCCTGAAGTCTCAGCATGTTCTCATATAAATGTAGAATTAGTAAACAATCTTGCATGTTCTTCACATGTACCCCAAAACTAAAATGCAATTAAAAAAAACCCAGAAAAAAGAATTAGAGATATAGTTATTCCTATATGTAATCATAATCATATAGCTATTTATATGTAATCATAACTACAGATGTTTAATCACATAATCATAGCTCTTCATATTAATCATACATATAGGTATGTAATGATATAATCTCTAATCTTACTTATAAGCCTCAGGAAGTATGGGACTGACATGGCATTGGAAAAGAGGTGACGCTAAAGCCAGATGCTCTAAGCCCTCTGTCACGCTCGCATAAGGGCTGCTGGAGGACACCTTGCTGTGCTCTGTGTCAGTGCCTGAAAGCACCCGGTTTAGCCAGCTAGGGGAGGACACATCCAAGATGGCGGGACATCTTCCTGGGGGGTAAGGAGAAAAACTCCGCCCCCCAAGCTCTTGTGGCAGGCCTGACGCTGTCACGGAGGCCCACAGACACCCAGGGACTTAACTGTTTCTCTGTGGTGCTGTGCTTGAGTGGTCATGTTCTGTGGCTACTTTCAAGTTCTGCTTCTGTACCTGGTTCCTCTTTTTCTTAGAATATAAGAATTAGTAACATAAATCTTAGTGACCTTGTTATTCTTGACAAGTATAGGAAAAAAAGTGCTGATGCCTTAGGTTTTCTCCTCACCTGGGCCTCAGTCTCCAAGACACGTGATTTACATGACCCTTCACTGACCGTCATTACCTCATTCTACCTGCTCTTCCCCCTGTAAGTGGTGTGAAAGAGCATCCAGGCCTGAGAAATAAATATGTCTGCTTTTTTATTTTCATATTCTTGTGGCTATTTCCTGTAGCCCAGGAAGTAAAAATTGCGTTGCTAAAAGATCCTTTGTTTCAGTGCCGATTTTTCTTTGCAGCACTGAGCATCTATTTGCACCAGCCGCTAATTATCATTCAACAGAGTCTATGGTAATGATGAGGGGTCGGTCAGGGAAGGCCACTGTCAGGAAGTAGCTGACATTTGGCCTGAGAGCTGAGAGTGACAAGAAGCCCTTCCCCACACTCCTGCAAGGATCTAAGGGGAGGAAATCCCAATCCTTACAACTGCAAAGGCCCAGGGCTGCAGGGGCTGAGGCTGCCAGGTGGCTCAGAGAAGCAAGGTTGCATAGGATCCCGGGCTAGGATTTCACTCAGAGTGTGGTAGAAGTCATTGGTGAGTTTAATGCAGGGGCAGGCCTGGATCCGATTTAAATTCTCACCAGGTGATGCTGGCTGCTGTGTGGGAAATGATGGATTGTAGGTCCACACAAGAGGAAGAACAGGAAGACCAGTTAGAGACAGTGGGGACTGGACCCAGGGAAATGAGAACAGGTCAGATTTCGGCTGATGTGGAGCAGGTGGGGGTGGGTGATGGATTGGATGTGGGGAGAGAGGAAGTGAGGGGGATGCCAGGTTTGGGACTAAAATAACTGAGTACATAGTGGTGCCATTACTGAGCTGGAGAAGAATTTTCTTGGAAGTGGAAGGTGGAGGTCGTGGGAATAAGGGTCTAATAAATCAGAGGAGCCTTTTACAATGGCAGGGAAGGGAAGCGCTGCTGGTCACACTTGCTTCCTGGTTTGAGAAGCTGTTTTCAGAAGGCTGTGGTCCAGAGAGGACCTAACGCTGTGAGGAGGTCAGGGCTACCCTTCACCTTGAATTTCCACCCATTCAACTCCAACTCACCCTCTCAACTGCTTCCCTGCTTTGCTGTCTGTTCTAGAAAGTGAGATTAAAACATTTACCTCGCACATCTAGTGCCCCAGGAGACAGGAGGTGAGCAGAGCCGGGGTGGAAGCTGAAAGATACCAACCCAGGCTCTCCCCTCTCTGTTTACTGATCACCTGTGCTGCCCATCAGGGAAGCCCCAACTCCAATTGCTTCAAGGCTAATGGGAAATTAAAGAAGCAGGAATGGCTCTTGGCCTCCGGGAGACTTGATCTTTTTTGTATCAGTCTGGTTGAGAAAGATGGGTAGAGGGTGCCCTGAAGGGAAGGACAGGATGCCAGCAGTACCCTGGGCTCTGCCTGCCCTGCTCCCTGGGCCCAGTGCTTGCCGAGGCAGAGGCTCTGCACTCTTTTCTGCTGTCCTTCCAAAGCTGGATCTGAACTCAGTGCTTGCCCCGGGCCCTGTTGCTTATTCCTCATCACCGTCATGTTCCTTAGTGGCAAAGGAGCCAGCGATCCTTCAGTGTGGGTGGTTTGGAGAATGACTATGCTAGCTCTGGATCCTGCAACTCAATCTAGCTAACGGAAAAAGCCAGAGGTTGGGGGCCTGAGCCAGCAGTGAGCACATAATAGATGCACACTTTTTTTTAAATGAGGCTTCACTCTTGCTGCCCTGACTGAAGTGCAGTGGTGTGATCTGGCTCACTGCAACCTCCACCTCCCAGGTTCAGGCAATTTTCGTGCCTCAGCCTCCCAACTACTAGGATTACAGGTGTACACCACCACATCCAGCTAAGTTTTTATATTTTTAGTAGAGATGGGTTTTGCCATATTGCCCAGGCTGGTCTCAAACTCCTAGCCTCAGGTGATTCACCTGCTAGGCCTCCAAAGTGCTGTGATTACAGGCATGAGCCACCACACCCAGCCATTATTATTATTATTATTATTTCCAAAGACAGGGTCTCACTATGTTGTCCAGGCTGGAGTGCAATGGTGTAATCCTAGCCTCCTGTAGCCTTGAACTACCGGCTCAAGCAAGCTTCCTGCCTCAGCATCCCAGGTAGCTGGGACAACAGGCATCTGCCACTGCACCTGGCAAATTTAAAATTTTGGTACAGACAAGATCTTGCTATGCTGTCTAGGCTGGTTTCAAACTCCTGGCCTCAAGGAATCTTCCTGCCTTGACAACCCAAAGTGCTTGAGATGACCAGTGTGAGCTGGGGTACAACCATTACTGCTGGGTCTGCTTACTCCTTCCCCAGGCTTCAGATAACTCTGTCTTCTGCCAGACCCATCCCGATCCTGTTAGTTCCCCTGGTAGGGGCAGCAGCCATGGGGGACACGGGAGACATGCACGTGCTCTGCATAGGCTGCCACCTGGAGCAGGATCCCTTGACCACAAGTGCTGGGCTGCTCTGTTGGTTCTTGCTGGCCCTGGTGCTGGTGCTGGGCCTGGGTTTGGGGCTCTGCCAGATGGCTGAGTATAGTGTGAGTCATTTCTCTGGCCATATCAGGGGTCCTTGAAGCCACTAGCCCCAACACATTGGCCTCTGTGTCATCCAGGCTGGAGGATGAGGGGACAGGCCCAGGCACTAGCGGTAGACTTGGCCGTCATGTTGCTGAGCAGAACCCCCATGCCTGGAACAGGCATGCAGAACCAAGGGAGCTGTTGAGCGAGGAGGTGAGAAGGAACACAGAGCCGCTGCTGTCCATGGTGGCCAGGGTGCCGCTCTTGGGGCTCACAGCAGTTTGCAAGACTGGTGGGCAGGGGTCAAGGCTGGATGCCCCAGACCCTAGGGCTGCCTCCAGCAGTGCAAGCAGCTCTGGGCTGGCTGAGGGACTGGGGGTGGGTGGGAACAGGATGCCCTGGGCCATGTGTAGCTGCTGCGCTGGTTCCAAAGTGGGCCTGGGCCCAGCCAAGGGCATCTCCACCCCCAGGTCTCCTGCCAGCAGACTCAGTAGTGAGTCCCTGGCAAGGTCTGAGGTGGGAGCGAAGCCTGCCCTGCAAAGCGTGGCTGCCAGCTGGGGGGTGGTAGCTCGGGCTCCAGCGCCCAGAGGCGTCCCATCAGGATGGCAAAGCAGTGGACAGAGACCTGTGCCCTGAGCTGCCAGGGGCTTGTCCACCAGGAAGCCCTCCTAAGCCAGTGTGGTAGGGCCGACTAGCAGGCATGGCCAGGGAAGGTGGCCAAAGCATGCATGCAGCAGGTGCAGGGTGGGCAGAGCCATGAGCAGTGCCACTCCGGGGGCTAGGGTCTGTGCTGGGCCTGATGTCAGGGCCGTGGAATTGCCCAAGGAGCTGTTGTGGAAGAGCCCCAAAACATGGCACCTGCAGGAGCTAGAGGGGTTACTCAGCAGGCGTGGGTCAAGGGCCACTGACTTGTTTCAGTCAAGATCCCTTGACTGAGTCTGGGATCAGGAGTTACTGGCCACACCTGAGGTAAAGGTGATGCAGACCTGGCTCAAGGGATGGGGACTGCTGCCCAAACCCTGGGTCCTGCTTATCAAGCAGCCTTGAGGTCAGGGCTACTGACTCCATGAGGCCCAGGTCACTGATTAGGCTGTGGGCTGGGATTGTGGTCCGGGATCCCGGGTCACTGACCTAGCCCCGTGGCATGAGGATGCACCATCGCCAGGCACAAAACAGCTCCCATGCCGGCATCCACAACGTTGCCCCCCGGCAACAAGCAGCTCCCAGCCTAGGTGGGAGCACATGGCTGCAGCAAGGAAGGGACTGTAATACAGCAGGAGGGACTGGGCCCGGTGACCCGTGACCCTCCCTCCCCTGAGCCGCTGCCAGCATGACTGACCTGCAGGGCTGATGATGGCACCATGATGGTAACGCCAGGGCCATGGGAGTGTCCGCTGGGTGGAGGGGCCATGGAGCCCAGGCCTCCTGTGGGGCTGCGTTGATGCTGGAGCTGCCACATGGCCAGGAAGCAGCCCATAGCCAGCAGCAGCAGGGCGGCCACTAGACGGGCCCAGGTTCCAGGCAGCCCACCAGCCTTGTTCCTGCAGAGGGGTGTCCTGAGCTGTGGCTGGGACAGAGGGATGCCCAGGAACCCTGAGAGTCCCCAGGGAATGTTTTCCAGAAGGTTTGATTTAGCACCGGGCATGGGGCTCACACCTGTAATCCTAGCACTTTGGGAGGCTGAAATGGGCAGATCACGAGGTCAGGAGATTGAGACCATCCTGGCTAACATGGTGAAACTACAAATACAAAAACATTAGCTGGGCACGGTGGCATGCACCTGTAGTCCCAGCTCCTTGGGAAGCTGAGGCAGGAGAATCGCTTGAACGCAGGAGGTGGAGGTTGCAGTGAGTGGAGATCAAACCACTGCATTCCAGCCTGGGCAACAAAGCGAGACTCTGTTTAAAAAAACAAAAAAAGGTTTGATTTAGCAAGAGGAGTTCAAGTCTGCCAAGGAGAAAGGGCTTCTTCACAGTGGGCACAGCTTGGGCAAAGACATGGAGCTGTGAAAGGATTGGGGAAACTGAGGCTAGCTAGGGCGGGAGCTTCTGAAGGGAGACTGAATCAGGTGGGAGGAAGGCCCAGTGGGGTGTGACAGGTGGGAGAGAAGGGGCTGGAGGCCGGAGCCGCCAGGTGTAGCCAGGCCCCAACCTGCCCAGCAGGTGCCTCCTCTACCAGGGCTTGGGGGCTGGGGACCTTTGACAGAGCAGCAGATGGTATCAAGCAGAGGCTGGCTTGGTACCAATGTCTTTCCAGATGCACAGACCTGTGACTGGGTCAGGCCAAGTCTGGGGCTGCAGCCTACATTTTCCCCAAGTTGATGGGACAGTGCCTGGAGCTAAGCACAGCAGGGAGTCACCTGGTCCCCTGAGGGGCTCCAGATAGAGGGACTTACAAACCTTAAGCCTGGGGAGGCTGGTCCCAGACCCCTCCCTTACTTAACCAGAAGAGTCCTGGGGCCTCAGGGGTTGGGAACCAGTGCCTGTGATGTCTCCTCTTTCTCTTCCTCTTCCTCCTCTGACTCCAGGCTTGGCTCCCAGAACAACAGCTTCTGATAGACTATGGGCTCTGCTGTCCCTCCATGGCCCCCGTGCTTGCCCCAGCCCTCCTGCCTGCCAGCCTTCTGGCCATGTCTCAGAGGCCTGCCTAAGCCTGGCAGGTGGGAGGTGGCAGCGACCTTGGGGAAGGCTGGGGTGGAATCCAGAACAGGTCTGGGCAGGGCAGGGGGCCAAGGAGCCTGCATGTTAGCCTGCCCCATTAGGACACAAGGCCTGAGGAGTTTTCACGACACAGCTTCCGGTGTGACTGCCTGTAAGGGATCGCAGCTCAGTGAGGAGGAACCCATCCCCAAGGCCACAACCTTGACACTCAGGCACCTGCTGGACACCCCCCTTTCCCTTGGGGGGATATAGCCCATGGACCCCCATTTAGGACTCTAGTCTAGAAACTGTGGACTTGAATTTGAGCTCCAGTTGCATGGCGACTTGGGTTGGGGGTCCCACATGCTTGGGTCAGCACGTGACTAGGTTCTGGCATTGGGGATATGGTCTCTGGCCAGAGTCAAGGCTCAGCCTGTGGCAACTCCGGGTCTGGATTTCTCTGGGAGGAACTTGGTTCATAAGAGAACTTCCTGGTGTGTTATGCGACTCTGGTTCAGGAGGCCGCAGCCTGGAAACCAAGCATTGCCAAGTTCGTTCTGGGATTCCCATCAAGGACCTGTTGCAAAACAGAGCTACTTGTAATGCCTCCAATGGAAAGCATCAAACATCCATGATCGGTAGAATGAGTGATGTAAGACACAGTGGACCATTCTGCGGCAATGAGAATGTGCGATCTACAATCATATGCAAATAACATACACAGGTCTGACAAACGTAAGGACGAGGGAAACCAGCCAGGCCTGAGAAAGCACATGCAATATGCTTTCATTTACATAAAGTATACAAAGAGGCAAAACGAGTCTGCCCTTAGAAGTAGGGATGAGAGGGCTTCTGGGATGCTGGAGATGTTCTTTTTTTTTTTTGAGACAGAGTTCTCATTTTTGTTGCCCAGGCTGGAGTGCAATGGTACAATCTCAGCTCACTGCAACCTCTACCTCCCAGGCACACAAGCAATTCTCTTGCCTCAGCTCCCGAGTAGCTGGGATTGCAGGTGTGCACCACCACGCCTGGCTAATTTTTTGTATTTTTAGTAGAGACAGTGCTTCACCATGTTGGCCAGGCTGGTCTCGAACTCCTGACCTCAGGTGATCCACCTGCCTCAGCCTCCCAACGTGCTGGGATTCCAGGTGTGAGACACCTCACCCAGTCAAAATGTTGTTTCTTCATCTGAGCATTGGTTACAGGACTGTCCTGAGTGTGAAAATGTGTCAAGCTGGGCACTGATGACGTGTACTTTCTATATGAATATTGTCTTTCAATAAAAAAGTAAAAATGAAAAGCTGAAGTATTTTTTACATTAAAACAGCAGCCATACAAATCATCCTTCAAATCATCCATCATCTCATCTGGCCCTCAGCTGCTTCCCTTTCTGGAGGTCTCTTCACAAGCAAGTACGGAGGTTTTTAAAGTCATCACAATCACCTGGGGAACCTGTGAAGTCAGATCCCTAGGCTCCACTCCCAGAAAGTCTGGCTCCAGCTGGACGTGATTTCCTCACTGCCACAGTCCTGGGACACGCCTTCAGTCTCAAAACAAATTCAGTTTCACCTGCTGTCTTCACTTCTCTCCTATTTCTTCCCTTAGCTGGCGTCTGTCTTTAATTCCCCAGAGAAACCTTTGGCTTCCCCATTTTTTTTTCTTGGACCAATAAAAAAAAAAAAAAAAAAATCAGAGCAGCCTAGGGTTACCACCTTCTAATTTTGCCAATGGTGGGAGGGTGGGACTCAAATGACCGTTGGATTATTTTATGACATATTATGATGTCATAAAATAATTTGGTTTCACTTTCTGTTAACACAATGTAAGAAAGTTAGAATCTCAGAATGAAGGTCAGTCCTTTCTTTTAAGAAAAGGCATCTGAGAATGTTAGGGGTCTGTGCTGCCCCATCTCCTGCCCCAGCCTCGGCCCCTTTTGTCCAGCAGGCAGCATTATTTTCAGCTCCACCATGCCCAGCAATGTTCCTCTGCTCCTACAGCTAGGGCCTGATGAGCTCTTTTGGACGAGACCTCCACTGGCTGGGTTTGAGGCACATTTTCCAGTTTGGCCTTTCCCATTTCAGGGCTCAGGGCTCAGGGTAGGGGTGGGGGTTGGCATTTGTTTTAGGAGGCCTGGGTCTACTCCCATGTCAGCTAATAACTGAATATATAACTGCAGGCAAGACATTTAACCTCTAGGCATCTTCACCCCACTTCTGTGAAATAGGATAACAATATTCATCCTCCTGGGGTTTTTAGAGGATTCACAAGAAAATGCATTTAAAGCATTTAGACCAGTGCTTATGACAGAACAGTCCCTCAAGAACATGGGTTCCTTTCTCTGCTCTGTAAGCCTCAGTCTCCCATGATTACTATGGATAATACACACACACACACTCACAGTGGCTTGACGTCTGAAATGTAAGACTGTAGATTCATTAATTTTTTCATTCATTCCCTCATTCATCCTCTTACTAATTGTTCTCAACCTTAGCTGCACATTAGTATTACCTGGCAAGCTTTACAAAATCAACGACTGGCCGGGTGAGGTGGCTCATGCCTGTAATCCCAGCACTTCTGGAGGCTGAAGCAGGTGGATCACGAAGTCAGGAGTTTGAAATCAGCCTGGCCTGCATGGTGAAACCCCATCTCTACTAAAAATACAAAATAAGCTGGGCGTGGTGGAGGGCGTCTATAGTCCTAAAAACTCAGGAGGCTGAGGCAGGAGAATCGCTTGAAGCCCAGAGGCAGAGGTTGCAGTGAGCTGAGATTGAGCCACTGCACTCGGCTCCACACAGCCTGCAGTCCCGGCCCCAAGGGCCCAGCTGCCTCCCACCTGCCGCCATCCACGAGGACTTGTTCCAAGGGACCTGCAGCCTGTGGCTCAGCCAGGCCTTGTTGCTGCAGCTGCTCCAAACTCAGTGCTCATGCTCCCAGGAAATCCTCACCTGCAGCCAGACGTATGGCCACATGCTGGTGTCATATGTGTCATCCGATGCACAGAGGGGGATGAGTTCTCCTCCCAGGAGCTGATCACCCACCTGCCTCTCTGCAGCCACCCCTCCTGCCTCCAACAGGTGCTGATCATCCAGGTCCTGTGTGAGGTGGTCAAGTGTGAGATCATCGAACATGTCATCCAAGTCCCCAAAAAGTTCCTGCTGGGCATGGCTGTTGGCTAGTCTAGCTTGAAGCTGACCTTCCATGTAGGTGACAGTTTTGAGTTCATGAAACAGAATCAGGAGACCTTCCATGCGACCATCACTGACTCCTCAGACTCATGGGCCCAGCAAAAGTCTCCCCAGGGAGTCCTATTCCCAGGTCATGAAGATGGCCCTCAAGGAAGAGGGCCAGGGTGAGTGCCAGTGGCTGCACCTGGACCTCATCTAGGAGAGGTGGCAGTTCTGCCAGTCACCATCCCCACCTTCCCCAGTGGCCAGATGGGCTTCATGCAGTGCAGCCAGAACCCAAGCACCAACTTCCAGGAGCAGGTGCAGCTGCTGAGACAGCAGCAGGTGGCGCAGATCCAGCTGAAGCACCACAATTCCAACGGGCACCACACCACCCTCGTGCTGTTCAAGTTTGTAGGCTCTGAGTGCCTGAGTCTTGCAAGGCTCTGAGTGATGTGAGTTGAGCCCCAGCGCCACCATTGATGCCACCCAGAACTCGGATCAGGGAGTCTGCAGCATGCCAGGGCCCCTCCAGCTCTGGGCCAGACCTCCTGCTGGCTCTCATCCACCAACCAAGGGTTTACAAGGCCCAGAGTGCTGCTGGCCTGCCCTGCTGGGAGGACTGTCTGCGTGTCTGTCTCTCCAGAGTTCTGCCTCCAAGCCTATACGGCCGTGTACGGCACCATCTCTCTGCCTTCTGTTGTCCGTCACTCACCAAACACATGTATTTGTAGAAAAAAAAATTCAAATACCTATGCAGATCAGTTAAATGACAAAATCAGAATCTCTAGATTGTAGCTTCATCAATTGTTGAAGCTTCCTAGGTGGCGTCAATGTGCAGGCAAGGCTGAGAACCACTGCTTTAGCTAGTGATTTCTGCAATTGGAATCACCTGTAGCAATTGGAAAAACAACCCAAACACCAATACCCTGGTCCCTCCCTTTCACCCAGTCCCGAGCCAATTGAATCAGCTTCTCTGACACTGAGCTTCAGTCATGATTTTTTTTTTTTGAGTTGGAGTTTCCCTCTTGTTGCCCAGGCTGCAGTGCAGTGGTGTGATCTCACTTCACTGCACACTGTCTCCTGGGTCAAGCAATTCTCCTACCTCAGCCTCCTGAGTAGCTGGGATTATAGGTGCCACCACCATGCCCCAGGTAATTTTTGTATTTTAGTAGAGACGGGGTTTAACCACATTGTTCATGCTGATCCTGAACTCTGACCTCAGGTGATCTGCTTGCTTAGATTACAGGCATGAGCCACCATACCCCGCCTCTAAGTGTTATTTATGGGTAAAATCAACATAGCTCCTGGAAAATGTTTTTTTTTTTTTGACAGAGTCTCATCTCTGTCACCTAGGCTGGAGTGCAGTGGCTCAATCTCAGCTCACTGCAACTTCCATCTCCAGGTTCAAGTGATTCCCCTGTCGCAGCCTCTTGAGTAGCTGGAATCATAGGCATGTGCCACCTCACTTGGCTAATTTTATATTTTAGTAGAGATGGGGGTTTACCATGTTGGCCAGTCTGATCTCAAACTCCTGACCACATGTGATCTGCCTGCTTCAACCTTCCAAAATGCTGGGATTATAGGCATGAGCCACCACACCTGGCCAAATGCGTTGTTCCTTATCCAGTCACCAGAGAATCCAGAAGTCATTTATTTTTGGAGAGCAGTGCATTTTACAACCTTGCCTCAGAGTTGTGGAGACACAGTATGTGATGGTCAACGCCAGGCACATTAACTGTGGCAGCTGGGGCTCAGATGAGGTGGAGACAGTGGTGCCTTCACCAGGCATTTCTGCAACATGATTTGGAACATTGATCTTGGTTGCATAGCCTCTGAGCTAGCTCTCCAACAGCTCTAACCCCATCCACTTTCTGTGACCATAAATGTTTATAAATTTATTCTCTATTTAACTCAGGCAGAAGTGTGTCTTTTGTTGACAATTAGTAACACTGACTGATGCATATACACCTAGAAGCCCCTAGAGGGCAGCAAACAGCACCTGCAGCTCGGAGCGGGAGAAGGGAGGCAGGAGCAGCGCTAACAAGTTGGCCGCTGGCTCGAAGTCTCTGCAGAGGAACAGAGGGCATCTGTGCCTTCCTGACCTGCTGGCTCCCAGGAATACTGTGTCTTAGCCGTGGACTAAGGAGGAAGACTCAGACAAAGGGAGGAAGTTCAATTTCAGTAGGAGGCTGTCGCTTTGTTACCTTTTTTTGTCTTGATATTCTGAAGCAGACGGGATGAATTACGAGGCCTTTTCTGGTAGCATCTATTTCTTATTCCCTCCTTTTACCTCCTGGCAATAGGATTCTAGTTGTCTTTGGGCCCCAGCCTTTTTCTTGTGTCAAGAGTTTTATTTATCTTAGATATTACCTGCTGCAGTGATCTTTGTCAGGTTTCTGGCTGCCTACCCTCTATTCTCCCTAAGAGAATCCAATTTTTTTTTTCCATTTTTACTTTCTTTTTTTTTTTTGACACAGAGTCTTGCTCTATGTGCAGTGGCATGATCTCAGCTCACTGCAATCTCCGTCTCCTGGGTTCAAGTGATTCTCCTGTTTCAGCCTCCCAAATAGTTGGGATAACAGGCATGCATCAGCACACCTGGCTAATTTTTTTCAGTAGAGATGGGGTTTCAACATGTTTACCAGGCTGATCTCGAACTCCTAACCTCAGGTGATCAGCCCACCTTGGCCTCCCAAAGTGCTGGATTACAGGTGTGACCCACCACACCAGCACTTCTTACTTCTTGATTCTTTAGAGCAGGCTTTGTCAACCAGGTCACTCTTCCAAACCACAGAACACAGGAGTGATTTTCCTAATTCTCCCAAAAGCCTTTGCCTGTTTCCCTTTCTTCCTGCTGGAATTCAGCCTCTAGGCCTGGGCCCTGGGGACAGAAGGACTGCAGTGAAGACAGTGTGGTGGGCAGCTAGAAGGAGGCTGAGCCTCACCAACTGCTCAGCCAGCGGTATCAGCCCTGGACTCTATACCTTCCCATTTCTGTCACTGGGGAAAATAAAATCTTCTTTGTGTAGCTGTGTGGTGAACAAAAAGGACTCACAGTCTATCTTTATTTTAATTTCCTCATCTCCATTCGCATTTTGTTCTGGGGACAGCCCATCACCATTCTTTTGATTTGAATATAGAGCAGGCCCATGTCTTTTGGGGACACTGTGCTTTGGTAAAAAGTTTTTGGGTCACTCCAAGTTATAAAGTTTCATTTCATGGCACAGTGGCTCATGCCTGTAATCCCAGAATTTTGGGAGACTGAGACAGGTGGATCACCTGAGGTCAGGAGTTTGAGACCAGCCTGACCAACATGAAGAAACCCCATCTGTCCTAGAAATACAAAATTAGCTGGGTGTGGTGGCATGCCTGTAATCCAGCTACTCGGGAGGATGAAGCAGTTTCATTTTAGCCAGTTGTGGTGGCTCACACCTGCAGTCCCAGCACTTTGGGAAGCCATGGTGGGTGGACTGCCTGAAGTCAGGAGTTTGAGAAGAGTCTGGCCAACATGATGAAACCCTGTCTCAACTGAAAATAGGATTTAGCCAGGCATGATGACGGGTGCTTGTAGTCGCAGCTACTAGGGCGGCTGAGGCAGGATAATCTCTTTAACCCAGGAGACAGAGGTTGTGGTGAGCCATATTTGCACCACTGCACTCTGGCCTGGAAGACAGTAAGACCCTGTCTCAAAAAAAGAAAATGTTTCATTTCGATAATTGCAATTAAAAAATAAGTGTGGTTCCATTCATGGGCTGGAGGGTAGAGCAGTGATTACCAGGGGCGGGGGAAGCGGGCTGGGAGTTACTGTTTATTTAGGTGTGTGGGTCTATCTGGGAGGATAAACAGCTTTGGCAGATGCCATGTGACAGTGTGAGCATATCTGGGGCCACTGACATGATTCATATACATGTGAATCGGTTAAAATGGTAAATTTTGTGTTATGTATATTGTATCACAATGAAAAATGCCAAAAAAAGTATAAATCAAAAATCCCAAAACACCCACAGCCCTTCTCCAAAATTCAAGTCCATTTAAAGTTGAAAATTTTGGGTGGGGGGTGGTGGCTCACACCTGTAATCCCAGCACTTTGGGAGGGCAAGGCTGGCAGATCACCTGAGGTCATCTTCGACGAGATAGCCTGGCAACATGGTGAAATCCCATCTCTACTAAAAATACAAAAAATTAGCCAGGGTGTGGTGGCATGTGACTGTAATCCCAGGTACTTGGGAGGCTGAGGCAGGAGAATCACTTGAACTTGGGGGGCGGAGATCGAGCCACTGCACTCCAGCCTGGGCAACAAGAGTGAAATTCCATCTCAAATAAGTAAATAAAATGAAGTTGAAAACTTCTCCCTTGCACCTTCTCGGTCTGTTTTGGGCAAGCAGCACGCAAAAGGCTGTGTGTGTGTGTGTGTGGTGTGTGTGTGTGGTGTGTGTGTGTGTATAAGTGTAAGGAAGGGTGTGGTGAGGAGGGAGAGACTCTAATTAACATCTCAATGTACCCCTGACCCCTCCTGCTCCTGTGCCCTGGGATCCTCTCCTCCTCACTCACATGGCTGCTTTTGGACTCCCAGCATTGACATGGCAGGGAAAGGAAGATGGGGTGGGGAAGATCTAATTTCATATTGTGAGAGCTGCTATGAAAGCTTCTGGGCTTCGTATATGGCTCTTTATCTATTGGGACATTTTTTTAGGTCCTTCCCAGACCACCAGCCAACCCGTTACTGGGGTCTCACCTACAGTTCCCTTGGTGGAGCTGAGCTCTTGGCTCACAGGCAGCTCTGGTTTCAGTTCTTGCTGCTGGGCTGCACCTTCTCTCCAGGTGGTGCTCCTAAGCAGGTTTTATTCTTGGGGTTTTTTTGTTTGTTTTCAGATGAAGTCTCGCTCTGTCCCCAGGCTGGAGTTCAGTGGCACGATCTCAGCTCACTGCAACTTTTCATCCCGGATTCAAGCGATTCTCCTGCCTTAGCCTCCCAAGTAGCTGGATTACAGGCCTAAGCCATCATGCCTGGCTAATTTTTGTATTTTTAATAGAGATGGGGTTTTGCCATGTTGGCCTCAATCTCTTGACCTCAGGATCTG